TCAACTTAACATAAATAAACCACCACCCCATACATAACTAATTTGTGCTGTGCATCAACAAGAACCTGCTTTTTAAATTTTTGTGCCAACTTACAATCCCATACTATGCCAGGCAAGGCATACTAAAAATACCACCAAGACAGGGTTATCTGAAGACACATTCAGTAGTGTGTTAACCATACAAAAAGACACTACAATTAAAAAGCAAATTCTACATCGCCTTACATTTCACTTATTTTCTTTAAAAGGAATCAGTTGTGTACCATGGCTGGTAGGGGGTGTTAAGTGCTTTATATACAAGAAAAAAATACTCTAGAACCAACTTCTTCATCATCATCCCGGTCTTCATCTTCCTCCTTCTCCCCCTCTTCATCTTCCTTGTCTTTCACCTCTTCCTTTTCTCCCTTGCTTTCTTCAGCCTTGACAGTTCTCTTTTCTGCCACATCAGGCTTTCCCTTAGCTCTGCAATATCCTTTTTGGATTTCTCCTCCAGCTTTGCAGCCCTCTTTTCATACGGCTGCTGGTCATCTGCAGTGGTGTCAGTCCGCATCTCCCAGTTCCTCTGCAACATCACCAGTGGATAAGCCAGGATGTTCTCCTTTGGTTTGGGGGCGATACTCAGGACAGAACAAAAAAAAAGGCCAAAGCAGGCCTCTTGAGTGCATTGGGATCCTTTAACGTTTTTTTTGTCTCCCAGTTAGGAGAGATACAGGTTTCATTTCTCTTTCATAACGGGCCTTTTCCATCTTTGCCCTGTCTGCAGATTTTCCTTTCTCTTTAGCAGACATGGCCTTCCAGCACTGAGTACTTCTGAGAAAACTCGTGAAGCTAACAGAGACAGCTGGGTGCTGCTCCTTCTGCTCCTCCCAGCAAGTTTGCACAGACTGTGCATCCGATGAGATTTTGCCTCTTGGATTCTTAGGGTCTTCTTTGCCTGTGTTTAGCTGTTTTTCCTCAGCAAGGCACAGAGCTGCCCATTGCCCATCTGGTTCTCACTTGCCCTGGTGCTGTCTTGATGGAGCTCAGTGTACTTCAGTGGCTGTGAAAACAGGAGCCAGACACCAAAAGCCAGGTCTTCTGATGTCCCGCTCCCTGCCCTTTCCTCTGGAGAGCATGCCCACCCCTCCCAGCCTGGCCCCCACAAATCCCCCAGGAGGCAGAGAAGCAGAAGGACTTGATGAGTTCTCATTGTACCATGCCCCTCAGCATTCTACATGCCCTTCAGCCTCCCACACCAGCGATTCCTGGATGGAATCGCAGTCCCAGCGCCCTATCTTATTAGTTTGGTTTCATGGCACATAATCTCTTTATCTGAAGGCTGCTTTATAGCGTCATGTCTTTTTTTTTTTTTTTTTTTTTTTAGTTTTTGTTTTTTTTTTTTTTTTTTTTTTTTTTTTTTTTTTTGAGTTGGAGTCTTGCTCTGTTGCCCAGGTTGACTGCCACGGCATTATCTCAGCTCACTGCAGCCTCTATCTCCTGGGTTCAAGAGATTCTCCTGTCTCGGCCTCCTGAGTAGCTGGGACTACAGAGGCACACCACCACGTCTGCCTAATTTTTGTACTTTTAGTAAAGACAGTTTCACCATGTTGCCCAGGCTGGTCTTGAACTGCTGATCTCAGGTGATTTGCCCAGCTTGGGCTCCCAAAGTGCTTCAATTACAGGCGTGAGCCACCACTCCCAGCCATGTCTTTTTAGCTAAGGTGGAATAACGAACACACATGCTTTGGAATACTCTGATCCTATGTGATTGTTGCTGATACCCCAGTGCATTCAAGACAAAGTAGGTAATTACGCCTCTGTACTGAGAATATAATATTACATGCAAAAAGCAACCTCCAGGAAACCTCCATGGCTTCTTTCAGCTTGTCACTGCCCTTTCCTTTCTCCTTCCCTGCCTCCCTTATCCCCAGCGTCCTCTTGACCGGGGACAAAGGAAAGAAAACCTGGGGCTGGTGGGAATGTGTCAACAATGTGCACATGAAGCAGTTTCTCTGTTTGTAGGGAAGTGTCAGTGAGTGAGTTAGAAATGCCCTGTCCAAACATGGGGCAAAACCCCTTCCTGGGCATGTGGTCATTCTCCGTGTGCCCGGGGAAGAACCTGGCAGTGAGCTGCTGTTCGTTTCCAGATGTGTCTCTATAGGGACATGTGGAATTGTTCTAGCATAATGTCACTGTTGGCCAACTTTTATTGACTTGTGAAATGATTTCCAAATTTTAATCCAAAGTTTGCCCTTTTTGGAGGAAAGCAGGGTGTGAGGAAAATAAACTTGAGGATAGAGTTGTTGACTTTGGTTAATTGATTTTTTTTTTTTTTTCTTGAGATGGAGTTTCACTCTTGTTGCCCAGGCTGGAGTGCAATGGCAGGATCTTGGCTCACCTCAACCTCTGCCTCCCTGGTTCAAACGATTCCCCAGCCTCAGCCTCCCGAGCAGCTGGGATTACAGGCATGTGCCACCACAGCCAACTAATTTTGTATTTTTAGTAGAGATGGGGTTTCCCCATGTTGGTCAGGCTGGCCTTGAACTCCCGACCTCAGGTGATCTGTCCGCCTTGCCCTCCCAAAGTGCTGGGATTACAGGCGTGAGCCACCGTGCCTGGCTGGATGCTTTTCAAATAACAAGAGAAAGGACTGGATGCCACATTTACGTCTTTCCCATTTCATCACTTTTAATTTTTCTCTTTTCTTCAGTTTCTTTGTTCCAGCCCATTTAACTCTTGTTTCCCCTCCCCAAGTTTCAGGTTGGGCTTGGCTACCAATTTCGTTCATTTCTGTTGCCTGACACCAATGCTCAAAAGCTGAATTCAAATCAGTGCCACTGTTGTGGAGTGGCTGAGGCTCTGAAAGGCCCAAGCAACCCTCTAAAGAGTTCCCCAAATGAAGGCGCCAACAATCTTCTAATCAAACCTCACTTTGAACCCAAGGGTTGATTCACTTGATAGCAGTCATCAGCACTGTCTTGGAGAAATATAGAATGAGTCATTCACATTTTCTATTTTGTATTAAAAATCTCTTTCACCTGCACCCTAATTGCTTTTAAGGATGATCTCACTGTGTAATGCTCCAAGTTTGTTAAGCTGTGCTGGATCATGTGACTGCTTTATGGGACGGAACCTGAATTGGTGATGGAGGATTGGGGTTGAGGTGGAGAAAAAACTGACCTTTGCTAATCAACTTATCCTTCCTGTACACAAATCATAATTCCCTTGTGTGTAAAATGAGGGCCAGCACATCTGTCTCCCTACTTTCTTAGCTGTCTTTGTATGTACAGTCACTCAGAACTGATTCACCTGTTTGTAGATTGTTGGACCACACTTCACTTTTCTTATTTCACCTTTTGCATCAGCTGATCTACCAGCATTAGACAATGTAAATCGTCGTAGGCTACTCTGAGGTACAGCACCCAGGTCATAAAAACATGGTTCTTAACACTTAGTACAGTATAAGTTAGAATCATCAGGGCAGCTTTTTACAAATGCAGATTCCTGGGTCCTACCACCAGAAAGTCTGATCCAGGAGGTCTGGGATGAGACTTAGGAATTCACATTTTAATTGACCTAGCAGGCGTTTCTGAGGCAGGTGGTCCCATAGACAGCATTTTGAGAACCACCACAGAGGATTGCTAGGAAGGACCCTGACACTCTCAGCTCTACATCCTTGATTTATGGATGAGGTTAAGGAAGCCTAGAGAAGTGAAATGACTAGTCCAGGTTGGTTAGTTAGTTGTTAGTTAAAGCAGAGCATGGATTAGAACTGAGCACCAGTTCTGGGCTTTTCCCACTTCCCCAGCTGCAGGAGAGTAGACTAATAGGAAACAGACTTGCTTTCAACAGGGTGGATTTAAATTAGATACAAGGAAGAACTTCCTGACATAGAAGAGTATTGAGGAAGTCTACAGCATCTTTCCCAGAAGGCTTTAATTCAGGGCTGACGCTCATCAGATGTGGGTCCTTGAGACATAATTTGGAGGCAAGGGGAAAGGAAGGCAACCTCTCTTCAACAAATGCTGGTTGTTTTCCATTAAAGGGACCAGAGACTCTTCTTATGGGTCTGCTAATGATGCCTGAAGTTTAACCTGTACAGCAACATAAGTGGCCAGTGATCCAGGAGGCCTGAATCCTACCCCTGGCCGGGATGAGCTTTGTGACGTTGGGCCGCTTGCTGTTTCCTGGTCTCTGCTTCCTCGCTATGGGATGAATGGGGTTCCATTAAAGTTTTTCTGATTTCTGTGGTTCCAGCATTTTTACCTTGCATTGTAACCCCCTTCAACAAAGTTTCTTATGCACCATAGGCACTCAGTGGAGTTTTGTCCGCTGAACAAAACAAACACTATTCAATATTGAGAATGGGCCAGGTGTGGTGGCTCACGCCTGTAATCCCTACACTTTGGGAGGCCAAGGCAGGTGGATCACGGGGTCAGGAGTTTGAGACCATCCTGGTCAGCATGTTGAAACCCTGTGTCTACTAAAAAAAAAATAAAAACTAGCCAGGCATGGTGGCACGCACCTGTAGTCCCAGTTACTGAGGAGGCTGAGGCAGGAGAATTGCTTAAACCCAGGAGGCAGAGGTTGCAGTGAGAGGAGACAGCGCCACTGCACTCCAGCCTGGGTGATAGAACCAGACCCTCTCTCAAAAAAAGAAAAGAAAACGTATTAAGAATGCAGGAGCCCAATCTTCCAGTTTCCCAATCCCAAGCCCCCTACCCCAGGACACTTAGAGACCGTCTCTGAACAGTCTGGTAGTGATACCCCTGTTTTCAAAATTATTTATGTATTTAAAGGGATCTAACGGTAAGTGAGTATGAGTTATAGCTTCAATATCCATGTACCTTTATGAGTGATCATTCAGATCTGGGCTATGCTATGCTGACTTAGAGTCGCTCCTCAAGCAAGAAGTCAGACCACCATCGCATCTCCAATAGCAGTGACGGTTGCTGGCTGCAAGTCTCCGTGCCTCATCTCCTACAGCCACCCCACTGACAGGCTGTTTCTGTTCCTTTCAGAAAGCAGATCTGGCTGTGGCAGGCCTCACCATTACAGCTGAACGGGAGAAGGTGATTGATTTCTCTAAGCCATTCATGACTCTGGGAATTAGCATTCTTTACCGCGTTCATATGGTAAGAGACTTATTTTATAAGCATTTATGTCATTAAAGTTATTTGCATGCAAACACTGAGTTATATGGGAATAATGAATGACTCACGGAAATATTTAGATTTCAAGACTTAAATGCAAATGTGTTGGGCTATTTTTTCTCCTATCAGCTGCACGAACTTGCAAACTAGAGGGATGGAGAAGTCATGCTTGTGGGCTTTCCAGTAAAAATTGCTCCTGCCTCTCTGAATAGTGATGACCAAGAATGATCATCCAATACGTGGTGTATCCTGTGTTGGTGATTGGCCCCGTGGGTCACTTTGCTCCCTTCTGGAGGCAGGGCCTGCAGCCCAGATGAGTCACCCTAGCATTTCTCAAGCAAGATGCCCACTTCCAAGTCCACCTGTGTTCACTTCTAGTGTTGCATCTGGTGAGGGAATGTAGATTCTTTCTCTCTTGATGATCTGTCCTGGAGAATAAAGGGTAGATCATTTAATGTCATTTATACCCTGCCTGCCCTTTTCTGCATTCCACGCCCCCTATAAAAAAGACTCCTCTGTCTGGGTAGGCCAGGGTGAGTGTCACAGTGAGTTTGTGAGAACACACCAATAGGCAGCTGAGTATGGACATGACCTTCAAGGCTGGTGGGAAGAGCAGAGGAAGAGTCACCCTGGCTGGGTCCCATCCATCAATGGATAATCATTACAGTGCCGGCAAATAGCTGACTTTGCTAGATTACCTTACTGGACAGAAGAGCCTTCCTTTCCTCTTGTAGCCGAACTGGCTCTAAGTGCAGAGCGTCGCACAGATTCGCCCGATATGCTAGTCACTTTCAGTGCCCATGATTCAGCTGCCATGGTATGCTCCAGACCAGAGCCCATACCTTGAGGCTGCCCAACAGGGGAGGGACCAAGAGGTCACCCCACATGCCTGCTGAAGAAGTGACCCCTTGCCAGGCCCCATATCCCAGCTCTAGAGAAAGGGGGATTGTCCACCTTTGCAGCTCCAGCCTATTCTCCCAACCCTGTGATGGGGGTTGTTGTGAGGGGTTGACTTGTGTCCCCCCACCAAAATACATGCTGAAGTTCTAACCTCTAGGACCTGGAAATGTGCTCGCATTTGGAAGTAGGGTCTTTGCAGATGTACTCAAGTGAAGATGAGGTCATACTAGATTAGTCTGGACCTTGATCGAATGTCTACTGTCCTTATAAAAAGAGGGAAATTTGAACACAGACACAGAGGAGAATGCCATGGGAATTGGAAGGCAGAGATTGGAGTGACGCATTTACAAGCCAAGGAGTACCAGGTATTGCTGGCAACCACTGAAAACTAGAGGAGACAAGGAAGGACCATTTCGTAGAGCCTGCAGAGAGCCTGGCCCCACTAACACCTCGATGTGGCCTTCCAGCCTCCAGAACTATGACATGATACATTTCTGTTGTTTTAAGCTACCAGTTGTGGTACTTTTTATGGCAGTCCCGGGAGATGAATATAGTTGTGTTGTTCTTATTTTAGAAAGGAAGAAACCGAGTTGCAATCAACTTAAAAACATGGGCAAGGCCACATGTTAGTATGTAAAAGATAAGGGTTCAAACCCAGGAATGATGTGTTTGAAGCCTGTGCTTTCTCCAGGACAGCAGCCTGCCACCCTCCTGTGTGTGATCTTTTAATCACTTGCATAGGGCACTTTTGTGCACCCTTTTTCTCATTTGGTCCTCAAGACGGTTCTTTGCGGAAGGAGGGCAGGTGTGATAATTTCCAATTTACAGATAAGGAAACTGAAGTCACGCTTGGAGCTAGTCCAGGGCTGAGCCTGGAACGCAGGCCTCTTAACTCCAGGGCAAGGTCTTGCCATCGTCACATCTGTGGGCACTCACTAGGCAGTCTTCCAGCCAGCACCATTTCTGGAGCTCCCCTCCCCCACATTGACCGCTGGAGTCGGGGGACATCCAAAAGAAATGGACACACACAGCTTTTGTCCTAACTACCCTGCCATGACCTGCGGCAGCCATGCAGCTAGGCTCTGGCCTTGATATCTAGATTTCTGGAGGGCACTAAAGCCCTGCTGGTCACTCAGTGGCCCATCAGGAACCAGCTGGTGGAAGGCACCTGACTCCAGGTGTTTTTGCCAGCAGGAAACACCTGCTGCTAGGCTGCCCTCCGCACCTAGGGCACTACTGTCCTGAATACCAACTCTGGCCAGAAAGAAACTGCAATTTGCCAACCCTCTGGATATCCCAAACTGGACTGTTGACTAAATATTTCTTACCACCTGAAAACCTGTATGAGCTCCCCTGCATTCATTTCTGGGATGTCAACTTTTATGTGCCAACTTGGCTATGTTATGTTGCTTAGATGCTTGGTCAACCACTAGTCAGGTACTGCTGTGAAGGTATTCATAGATACGACTAACATCTACAGTGAATTGACTTCATAAAGGAGAATACTCTCGATAATGTGGGTGGGCCTCATCCAGTGAGCTGAAGGATATAAGAGCAAAACCTGAGGTTTCCTGAAGAAGGAATCCTGCCTTAAGTCTATCATGTAGAAATCCTGCCTGAGTTTCTAGCCTGCCCGCCTTCTGGACTTATTAGCCCCCTACAATCACATGAGCCAATTTCTTACAATAAATCTCCCTGTCTCTCCCAATCTCTCTTTACTTCTACACACACACACACACACACACACACACACACACACACACACCCCTGACTATTAGGTGAGGATTCCTCTCCTCTTCTGGCCTCCACACTGGAGCACCCAGATGCCACGTGGCTGCCTAGACCTGATTGATAACAGGAGGCCAGGCTGAGTAAGAAATGAGCTCTGGGATGAACAGCTTACACTAAGCAGAACTGACAGTTTATACGTTTATTCAACAAATATTTATCGAGTGCATTCTATGTGTGAGACACCATGCTTAGAAAGTACCAAAAAGTCAGCTGAGGAGAGAACAATCCCAAATTGACTAACCCAGGGGAGACCTGGTTAGAATGTTGGAGATGAATGTTCCTGTGTCTGAAACAAAGGAGGCCTTAGCCAGATGTGCTCCGGTTACAGGATGAACTGGCAGAGTCCACTCCAAGAGCCTAAATCTAAAATTACATAGAGGTGCTATCTCTAATATCATAGTATAAAGGTGATGAAATTAAATACTGGGTGTTCATTGTTTTGCAATTTTTCTCTAATTGTTAGTTCTCTGTGAGAAAAAATATGGGTAATTTAATCACATTTATGATTTATAAGGATCTAGAATGTCTATGTTAGTTCTGTGTTTATGAGGTCACCTGACTGATGAGTTATTGTTACCAGAAACAGAGCATCTGGTGGCAATCAAACCTGTGTGCAAATGTAAAAATAATTAACTTAAAGTGCCTAGTTAAGAATTATTGTTAAAGCTTCCAAAATAATAAGTAGTGACAAGTATGTCTCTGAAGTCCAAATCAATAATTTGTGACTTTCCAGCGATCTAAGATTATCTAGGCATTTTCATGAACACAGATTATCAACAGTTGACTGTGGGATATTTACCTTCTTCCTAACACTGGGTATAATCTGTTTCTGTTCAGGCATTCTTGGGACCAAAATAAGAATGTTTTGCTCTTTTTTTACCACCTACTCCCTGTTACTCACAAGCTGGCTGAGGATTCTGGCTTTGGCATTTGTTACTGTTTTTCCACCCTGCTTTTTAAAAGCCTCTCTCGCTCTCTCTGTCTCTCTCTTTCTCTCTCCCATCCCTCCTTCCTCTCTCTCTCTCTCTTTCTCTCTTTCTTTCTTTCTCACCCACCTTAAATGTCCAATATCCTTTTGTCTTCTCATTCTACCAACTCTCCCTGGACAATCTTACTCCCTCCCAAATTGTGAATCTAACCTTGGCCTCTCCCCTGAGTTCCAGTCGTGTATTTCTGACACATTTCTTCACATCTCCACCTGGATTTCTCACAGGCATCCCAAAAACTATGTCACAAACTGCATTCCATGTGTTTCTGACTCACACTTACCCTCCTTCCCTGTGCCCCATATCTCCATCCAGTAACCGAAGCCATCTTTAACTTTTCTTACCTTACACATTCCATTGGTCATCTCATCTCCCAAAGAGTTCTCAAATATACTGTGTATCCCCATTTGTGCCTTGATTCAGGCTTTCCCAATCTCTGCTGCCATTCCTGCAGCCTGTATCCTCCTTTAGGGCAAGGCATTTCTTGTCCATTACTGGATCCCCATCAAAAGGCCACGGTCCTTATAAGCATTCACCAAGAAACAGCAGAGTGAGAACCATGGAGTTTGGACCCAGACTGTCTGGGTTTATTCCCAGCTTTTACGTTATTAGATGCATGCCACATACATCTTAGCTTATTCATTTGTAAAAATGTGTTGTCATGCAAATTAAATGAGAATACATATGTAATGCACCCATAGCAGTGCCTGACATATGCACAATAGAGTGTTAGCTATTATACTCAATAAATCTACATTAATTATTCCTTCATAATCTATTGTGCATACTGCTGCCTGGGTGTTGTTGTTATTGTTGTTGTTTAAAAAAAAAAAACATAATCATATCAACTTCCTACTTGAAATCATTCACCAGCTGCCCATCACTCACAAGAAAAAGTTCAGCTTTCCTACATCCAGGTATTTGCCTGTAGGCAACTTCACCCTTTGCTGTTCACTGATCTTTCGTCAGGTCAGCCCCTTCCTGCATCCTTCCTCATCTAGGTTCATACTCATCTACTTGCCTTTCAACCAGCTAACAAACTCTTCTCTGGCTTTCAATACCCAGCTCAAATGGCACTTGCTCTTCCATGTGGCTCCCCTAGATGGAGGAGCCTATACTTCTATTACAATACTTTTAGGTTGCATTATATTATTCTTTGTTTATCTGTCTCTCCTTTTGTAGCCCCTAGTGGGAGGTACATTAAGGGAAAATTACCCTATTGTCAGACCACAAATTTTTATGATATGATTTTAGGTGTAGAAAATGTGATCATCCTAAACATGCAGTAGTTACTTGATAGGAAGG